TGAAAATATTTAATTTATGTATACGCTACTGATAGAACAATAGACTATATATAATTTCAAGGTATGCAGGAAGCTAACTTAACACCCCCCCCCACAAATTTAATGGTCTATCCCTAAAGTTCTTGATTTTCATTGGTTGACCTTTGATGTTGCCATCATAAGATGCATCATGGGTATTAAATGCAGTTGCTATGGTTTATCCAGCGTTTTAAGTTCTCAACATTACCAAATACATCCATGGAGATCAACCTGGGTGAAAGGCCAAATGCAGGTCGGAATAAATTCAAACACATCAGCTAAAAAATAAGACTGTTTTTGTTATTTCTATATTCAACACAAAGTAAAATGTTTGTCTTACATCAGGGATATCGGTTCAATCCTTATAATACCAACTGTTGAAGTATAAACTTAGGTACTGTATTCCTGGAAAGAACTAGAAAAAGTTATAAAGTGAAAATTAATACTATTATTCTTTTTAAATATTAATTGCATCAACATGCAACAACCTGTTCAAAATGTTTGGCTCGCATCAGCAAATTCTCAAATTTTCAATTTTTTTTATCAAAAACTAGAAGTAATCTCACCATTTTTTGGTCCAAAATTAAGATTAAATTCAGTGAAACTTACAGAAAATGTGTACAAATAAAAAAAAAAAATTGATGATCAAAAAGTTACAGTTTGGTACAGTAGTTCTAGAGAAAATTGGAAAAGGTTATGAGATGAATAAGCTGTATCCTTATTGGGAAATTAATAAAAATGAAAAAAAATGTACATATACACACTAAATAAAATTATCAATTATATTAATATTTTGATTATTAGTGTTTTCTCAATTTCATTAGTCATGAAGGCTATCACTTTTTCTTTATCTATTTTATAAAATATTTGTAAATTTGTTATACTCAAGAGGCATTAACAGTATACTGTAAAAAGATTAATTATTCACGGGGTTTTAATTTTGCTTATTTCGCTGACTGGAAAATGCGCTAAATTAAAACCCAGTGAATATGTAAAATTTAGTTAGCATTGAACACATTATCTAAATGATAAAACCATGAATTTAAAACCCACTGAATATGCATGAAATGGTAAATCAGCGAAATTTAAACCCAGTGAAAATTAGTCATTTCACAGTAGTTCTAAAGATTATTCTGCAATGAACACTTTGTGATATTTAAGTGTAATTCAACTTAAATCTCCATAAACATAAACTTTTATTGTCGTATGTTGTCAAAAGCTTAAATGGCAAAGGTACAGGAAGTGGAATTAAATTTTT